TATTCTTTAACTTCAAAAAGACAGGGTCAATAGCTGGGCACTGGTGGCTCAATCTGTAATGTTAGCTACTCAGGAGGCAGAGATCTGGAGGATCGTGGTTTGCAGCCAGCCTAGAACAATTAGCTTACAAGATCCTATTTCAAAAATACCCAATACAAAAAAGGACTGGCAGAGTGGTGGCTAAAGTGGTAGAGCATAGTACTCCCAAAAAAAAAGAAGAGAAAAAAACAAAGTCAAAATAGCTGCAAAAAAAATGGACAGCTACGAATACTACTAAGTTAAGGGGGAAAAATCACTTAACTATCATGTGAAAAGCTTTTCCTACGTATTTCATATGTATTATCCCACTTAATATTCAAAAAACCCTGCAAGGATGAGGAAACAAGCTTGGAAGGCTCATACAACTATTTAGTGGTAAAGACAGGCATCTGAACCCAGGTCTATCAGTTTTTTGGTTTTTGTTTTGTGGTACTGAGGTTTAAATTCAGGATCTTGTGCTTGCTAAGTAGGTGCCCTACCACCTGAGGTACACCCCATTCCAAAGGCTAATATACTATCTGTCTTTCCTGCATACTTATTAATACAAGCTAACCAGGCAAAAATGTACCTAATGTATGGGAATCCTTTGTTTTATTAGACATAACTGAGGTCTATAAGCCTTATGACATCAAATTAGTGTGGAAGATTTTCTCCAATGTCCAAAATACATATACACATCATCTTGCTTTTCACCTGCCTTATTTGTTGACTACTTAAAAGATTTCCAAGACTCTCTAAAATTAATTATTCTTTCAAAAAAAATACAAGTGTCAAATTTTAAAATCAGGTATTAATCCTATCAGTGGGTAGCCCGTTTTACTCAAAACACTTTTCATATACATTCTCTCTTTTATTCCTCAGAAGAAATCCATAGAAATAAGATTAATGACCTTTTTTTTTTTGGCCAGTACTGGGGTTTGAACGTTTGCTAGGCACTCTACCACTTGAGCCATGCCCCTAAGATTACTGCCATTTTACCAAGAAAGAAAGTAAAGCTCTCAAGAGTCTAAGTAACACAAGCTAACTAAGAATCTGAACCCAAGTCTATGGTGCCACAGTCAATTCTTCCCATCTCACTATGCTGCTTCTCCAATTTAAAGAAAGAACTAAGATAAGGTTTTCTTGTGATAACAAGAAAATCTAGCTGAATGATGAATGCAAACTAAAGTTTAAATCAAAACTGTCACAAAATTTAATCAAAATCTATTTGGACATAACTGATGTTACATGAAACAGTGCTAACCATTCTAATTTGAAATAATTTTGTACTTTCACATCTGAGTTAACTTTGATCTCATCTTTCTCAAAATTACATTACACTAAATGTGAATAAAGGCTTGGAAAGTGAAGTGGAAAAAGTAACACAGTTATATTTACATGGGAGAATTTTTTATAAGTGATTTTTTTACATCAGAAAATTTTTTTTCAAAAGTTTTCCTTTAGCCGGGTGCCAGTAGCTCACACCTGTAATCCTAGCTACTCAGGAGGATGGTGGTTCGAAGCCAGCCCGGGCAAACAGTTCCCACCAGACTCTATCTCAAAAAACCCTTCACAAAAATAGGACTGTTGGAGTGGCTCAAGGTGAAGGCCCTGAGTTCAAGCCCCAGTCCACAAAAAGAAAAAAAAAAATCCTTTAAATTGTTTTAATATGGTTAACAGCTTTTTAAAAAAGCCATTACAAATACCTCTACTGTATGTGAGTACTCAATAGAAGATATTCATATGACTGCTGAGTATGACTTTTTTATGTGTGATGCTGAGGATCAAATACAGGACCTCGTGCATGCTAGGCAAGCACTCTACCACAAAGCTACATCCTCAGTCCCAAGTATGACTTTTTAAAATGCCAAAAGTAACTCTGTTAATGACGAGTCTCTTAAGAAAATACTCAAAACTCTACTTCTCTTTAAATCTTGCTATAAAACAGGCATCAATGGAGATGTTAAATTATTATGTCCCCAATAGTCAGCTGATAGCAGCTCAGTGCTGGTGGTTCACACCTACAATCCTAATTACTTGGGAGGCTTAGATTGGGAGGATCATGGTTCAAAGCCAGCCTGGGCAAACAGTTCACTAGCCCCCATCTCAACCAGTGGATGCTGTATACCTGTAATTCTAAGCTACACATGGAGGCCGAGATCAGGAGGATCGAAGTTCCAGGTAAGCCTGGGCAAAAAGCGAGACCCTATCTCCAAAATAACAAGAACAAAAGGGGATGGAGGTGTGGCTCAAGCAGAAGAGCACCTGCCTAGCAAGCACTAAGCTCTGATTTCAAACTCCAGAACTGCCAAAAACAAACAAACTAAACACCTATGTACAACAAATGGATAGCTAACTGTAATTTGGAACCTTTGTTTATAATGACTTTTATCAAAATTTACTGTTTTAACAAGATTTAAACAATTATTTAAAAATAAAAAGAGAAACAATTAAAAATACTTTGCCAATTTAGTGAGTAAAACAGCCTTTATTTCCACCTCAAAAATATTAAAATAAAAGCCAGGCACCGATGGCTTACGCCTTTAAACAAGCTACGCAGGAAGCAGAGATCAGGAGGATAGTGGTTCACGGCCAGCCTGGGCAAATAGTTTGTGAGACCCTATCTCGAAAATAGGCATCACAAAAAGGGCTGGTAGAGTAGCTCAAGGTGTAGGCCCTGAATTCAAGCCCCAGTACTGCAAATAAATAAATAAATAAATAAAATACTAATCCCAAATTTTAGGTCAATGTCTCAAACATTTTCTACCAATTACCTTAAAATAGAGTTTCTGATTACATATTAAAGGAATTCAGAACTGTAAATATAAAATAAACTGTAAAAAACAAGCAAGTTCAGCACTTGGAAGAATGGTTAACATCACTTACATAAGAGAGAAAACAGCTTTAACAGCTTATCTAGTGATCTAGTGATGACTGCTCTTATATTTTTGCACAAATTCTCTATTGTAACCTCTGAATAAAATTGCTTAAACTCTCCAAACTTCAATGTTTCTACTATTCCAAAAGATATGCTATATGTGTAACATCCATTTTTACCTTCCCAATATAAAAGAAACCAATGAAAACCAGAGATTTGCTTTAACAAAAGTACAATATCATTGAACACCAATGAAAAATTTACAGTTGAGAACATATGTTCACTATCATTTCTCTAATTCTCTAAACCAGTTTTATGGCACAGAAATAGCTTTAAAGAAGATAAATATTTGTATTCTTCCCAATTTGTGACATATTTTAAAAGTGATTCAACCAAACTATGGGTTAATAGTATTCCTTAATTCCCACTCATTCAACAAATATGCATTTGTGTAATCATAATTATCATTAGTGCTACTTCACCTACCATTTTTATTTCTCAGAAAAGTGTAAAAACAAAACTACAGAAAATTTTAAAAGGATGTTTTAAAACTCTCTATAGAAGTCTTTATACAAAGTGAAGTCAGCACATGGTTGAAAACAGATGTTACTACAGCAACCCTAAAGGAAGATGAAGAAGGAATGTACTTACGTTTCAAAACAACGATCCACGTTGTCAGACATCAAAAGCAGCATGCATAGCTGTTCAAGGGCTATTAGTTGCATGTCCCTTTCATCTCCCTGTCCCATCTGTAGCCATTCCAGCAACGTATCAGGATCCACATCTGCCATGTTTTTTTTAAAGGCCGCTTTGCTTAAATTTAGTAAAGAGGAAAAAAACAGTCCTTCAAATGCCCTGGACTAATCAACTTAAGTTTAATTTTTTTTTCTTTGACATCTGCTAGCACCAAATTTTCATGATGTTCCCTTAGGAATTAAAAAACTCCTAAGTATGTTTGGATAGAGTACTTAATGCAGTTTAATTTTCCCTTATTCACCAGGTTTCATGTTCAGATATACTAAACAAAAACCAGTTTTGCACAGAGCATAAGCTGATTAAGTTGCTGCTTAAGCAGAAACTAGAGCTGTCGTTGTCAAAGACAGTCAAACAAGCTCTGAGTCCCACTACTGCTATCACTAACATCTGTGCAAAACGGCAAACAACACCTACAGAAAGCTGCTGCTGCTTCTTTTTTTTTTTCCAGCAAACTTCTTTCCCCTTCTCTAACCCCAAAACTGGTCTTCGGATATGGTCAGATCCAGTGTTTTAAAGGAGACGTTAAGCACTCTGATCCAATCCCCCTCCAAAGGAGCACAAATTCTACTCTATTCTCAAATTTATTTACTTCTATTTAAGATAACCAGATATACAATTCGGTCTATGAATTTAAAAAAATGGGCTCGGAATTTTGGCAGTCCGGGCAACTGTTCTTAAAACTTTAAAAAGAAATGCTAAAAGTAAATGCAATGGACTAACAGGTTAAGAATCAGAATACAGGCCATGGATCTACCTCCTTTCTCCGTCCCCATAGGATGGGGCAGTTGGTTAAGGGAGAAAAAATGAGAAGCAGCCCCAAGAGGCGAGTCATCACAACAGCTCGCGGTGAGCGCCGAGCAGGGCGGCTCTGGGTCCCACGTCCCCCCCAGCTGCAGGTGTGGGAACCAGGCGTCGGGTCCCCGTGGGCACCCAACGGCGGCGGCCTCGGGAGGACCCCGCACCCCGCACGGCCGGCTGGGAGGCGCGGGCAGCGACCCCGGCAAGGGAGCTACCTGTGCCCAGGAGGAGGGGAAGCTATCTATGCAGGAGCTGCAGCAGCCCTGCGTGCTCGGGAGGAGGCCGCCGAGCAGGGCCGAGCCGAGCCGAGTCGAGTCGAGCCGAGCCGGGTCGGGCCGGACAAGGCGGCGGATCTCCCGAGCACGGCGCCCGGAACTCGGAGGCCCGGCGGAACAGCGCCGGACCCTTCTCAAGGGCAAGCGTAGCGGGATGTGGGCTCCGGCGCGGGACCCGCGGCCGGCAAGGCCCCGGGAAGGGAACAAAGGGGCCGGGCCGGGAGTCGGCAGCACCCGGCCGACCTCACCCGCGCCGAGGTCTCGCTCCCCCGCCCATGGCTGGGCGTCGCGGATCCCGGGCCCCTGGGGTTCCCGACCCTTCAGACGGCCCGAAACGCTCCCGCCGCCCCTTCCCGTACGGCTCTTACCCGGGCTCGGCGTCCCAAGCCGCTCCGGTCCAGCTCCAAGCAGGCCGCGGGCAGAGCCAGGCCCGGCCGCGGCCCTCGAGTTCCCAGGAAGCCGCAGGCCGCGCAGGTCGAGCCGGGCAGGCGACACAGGAAAAGCCCTGTCTCGTTCCTCCCCTTCCTCCGCAGAGACCTGGTGACAAGGAAGCGAGAGGTTCCCCTGAGCGGCGCAGGTCCCGTCCCCCCGCACGCGGCTCCTCAGGCCCTGCAGTTCAGACGGAGGCCCGCACGGTGCTGCCGGCGGCGGCGGGGACAGGCCGCGTCCATCGCGATCCAGGAGGGGGAAGGGAGGAGGGCCGAGCGAGCGCCGGGCGGGGAAGCAGCCGAGGGCAGCGCGGCCCGGCGGAGGCGGGGCGAGTCCGCGCTCCCGGCGGCGACCCCACGGGTGGCCACCTGGGGCGCTGCGGAGACGGCGGACCCCAGCGGGCGGCCCGGCGCTTTGGGCCCGCGGCCTGGGGCTCGCTCGGCCGCCCGCCCCGGCGTCCTTCTCGCCGCGCTGTCACCCGGAGCGCGCCCCCGGCACCGCGCACACCGTGCGCGCACGTTCGGCTGGCTGGGCCCGGGCCTGGCACGGGGCGAGCTGCACCGCCCCGCGCCCGCGACCTGGCGCCGCCGCCGCCGCCGCCGCGACCCCTGCCCCGCCGGTCTCCCTGCTGTCCCGAGGGCGTCGCGGGGTGGGGTGGGGAAAGCGCTTCCCTTTGGCCCTGGGAAGCGCGCACCCCGCAGGTCTCTCCAGAAAGAGCCTCTCACCGCAGCCCGGGAAATGGGTGCTGCGCTAAGCCAGCTGCGTTGCGCAGGTGAGGAAACTGAGGCTCGGGGAAAGCGACCCCGAGCAGCAGCGGGGTGGACGCTCGGGTCTCGTGCCTGGGTCTGTGCCTTGCAGCCTTCACCCTTTTGTTTCACAAAAATAAATAGGCCTGCCTGTACGACATCCTGGGAGATGTTTTAGCATGTAATTAACTGAAGATAGCTTTTCTTTAAATCCGGATACCAATTCCCTTGGTTTGCGAGGTAAGTAGAGCTATGCCCCAGGCTCCTACTGCTCCTACTGTCACCTTTGAACAAAAAATGAGTAGTGTTTGAGACATGATCCCGTAAACAATCAGAGGAACTGCGGTGCAGGCTGTAAAAAAACCAGTATTTTGGAAATTATGAATTTGCACCAAGTAGCTTTCGGCACGTGTCCCGCTATCACAGGACCCTAGAACGCCTATTAACAAATCAGTAGTATGTAGTCCCAAGTATTAGAAGTTAGAAGAAATATTAGAAGCTATGAGTGTTGAGTTGGAACTATCAGGAAAATCTTGAAAGGAGGAACTGGCATGCATTCTTCTGGACCTTGAAGAGTGGGTACAGTGTGGACACTGAAAAGGAGGGGAAAGCAGAAGAAAAGAACCTGTGCCCCCAGCAAAGAACCAGCCCAAACAACAGGAGAGAGAGAAAGTTTGGGCTATAGTATGAAGGGCCTTGAGAAGGATGCAGAAGTCAGACTAAGTAACAAGATCTAGACTTGTTCCCTACTGGAAAATTAGTCTTTAGAGGATTTATATGGCAAGAGCATCCAGAATGGCTAAAAGGAACTGCCTAGACAAGGAGAATAGCTGGCAAGTTGCTGAGGTGTTCTAACACTGGAGAAAGAAAGGCCCAGTTATTGGTAATAAGAATGGAGACCAGCAGGGGTGTGGCTAGCAAGTGTGAGGCCCTGAATTCAAACAGTACCACAAAAAAAGAAAATGGAGAAGAAATGGGCCTGGAGAAGTGGCTCAAGTAGTAGAGCAGCTGACTAGCAAGTGCAAAGCCCTGCCTGAATTCGAACTCTAGTAACACCCCTCCCAAAACAAAATAAAACAAACAAAGGATGGAGAAGAAATAAACCTAAAAACTCTTTAAAAGAAGATGGGGCTGAGGGTGTGGCTCACTCAGGTGGCAGAGAACCTGCCTAGCAAGTGCAAGGCCCTGACTTCAAACTGCAGTACTGCCAAAGAAAAAAGAAGAGAAAATACATCAGAATTTAAATGATTAGTTATTTCAACTTAAGTTATTACCTGCAGAGAGGACCTGGAAGCTGGGGAAATGATGATGCTATGAACAGAAAGTAGAAATGTTAAGAAAAGTGATTTAAGGCCCTTAACTATTTTCTAGGTGTATTTTCCTTTGTTCCTGCACCATTTCCACCTGCCCTACCTACTTCCTGCCCCCAAGACTAATAACTATTGTGTTCATTAAGTAAACCATATCAAAAGAATACTGTGACTTGTCATGTGCTTTTTAAAGAATTTACTATTATATGTATTTATGACATACAAACACAGAGAACTCAAAGAGATCCCAGAACAAGAGTATTAAAGGAAAGCAGTAAAGTATTGAAGAAAACAAAAGATCCAGATGAAAGCAACTGACCATACTATTTGAATGTATGTCCCAAGAAAACAGGAAATTTTTAACATGTTTATACTTCACCATGATGTCAAAATTATGGAGCTCAGAATTGCTCTGGGCCATGCAGACTTCATCCTCATCCTTGTAAAAAGTCTAGGGGAAGGTAGGCGTCACCATACTCCTGTGTCTTTCTCATAGCACTTGTTACATTACCTTGTCACATGTACTCTGGGAACATACGGAAGTGATGGTATCTTGAAAGGCTTCAAAATGATATATGAAGGTCAGGTGTGATGGTGCACACTTGTAATCTCAGCTACTCTGGAGACAAAGGCAGGAGGATCTCAAGGTCAAGGCCAGCCTGGGAAAAAGTCATGGGGGCATGACTCAAATGGTAGAGCATTTACTGGGAAAATTTAGCACGTATGAGACCCTGGGTTCAATCCCTAGTAACACATACATACATAAACATGCACGGTAATAACTCATCTCAGCTGTTGAGTCAGAGCTGAACAGATATTCAGAAGACTGTGTGGGAGGGTGTAGAGGTGCACAGAGGGCTTCTCTTGGGGTGGAAAAGCAAGAGGCTCAGGTGCTACTTTTATGAAGAATCTTCAGTATGCCCACAGTCTCTGGGACCAATTCATAGAACCTAAACAGAAGATATTCATTGCACAAATTTAAATTCTTATTTGGTTGACTGCCATGTAATATGAATTAATTTTAAGTAAATCTTATAATTATCTTCTGTGTACCATAATTATGTAGCATCATGTATCAAAACATTAATTTGTTAGATACAAACATTAAACTATACTATAGAAAAGGTCTGTTTGAGCTGGAAATGGGAGTGTCCCTGGCTTCCCTTAACTTATGAGAGTTTTGACATATGAAAAAGTGAGGTCTGTAACTTTGGAGCAGTAGCAAATTAAATCTGGAACCTAGAGTGATGCTAGGAGCTGGAAGAGACCATTGAGGTTAATACAAACTGAGGTATGGAGGACTCTGGAGGACTTCCACACTAAAGTGTGGAGAAAAGACCTGTCTCTTACTGGCTGTACAACCCTGAGCAACCCACATAACTTCTCGGAGTTTTTCCTTTTATGTAAAATAAAGATAGTACTCAACACCAGAATTGGTTTGTTTCAGCAAGAGAGAAGGTAGAACAAACATCAGTTCCAGTGTTGAGTTTTGTCTTCATTTTACATAAAAGAAAAAAAAAAAAGCTTTATCTTCTCTCATGCTGAAACAAAAAAATCAGTGAAGCACTCCCTTTGTGCCATCCCTGACCTGTCATCTATTCTCTTCCGTCATGTTTCCGGTGTTGGGAAATGCTTACTTCATCCTCATGAAATGCGTTTTGCTTTGGTCTACTAGCTCCCTATGCACGGAGGCGTGTAGAAGGGCTATGCCTGCAGGCCAGCATTTGAAACCCAGTTCCCCATCTTGCTAATGCTGTGAACTTGGGAAAGTTATTTAATCCCATCCTGACTTCCTCATATGGCTATCAAGTAGGATTAAAAACAACTACCTAACCTAATGGAAATAATAAGAATTAATGGGATTATATATACAAAGGACCTAGGCCAGTAGTACTTGCAATGGTTTTTGTTTGATTGGTTGTTTTTTGGTTTTTGCGGGGGGGTTTGGGTTTTTTGGTGGTTCTGGAGGTTGAACTCAGTACCTAGTGCTTACTAGGCAGACGCTTTACCACAAGAGCCACTCTGCCAGCCCTAGGCAAATAGTTCTTAATCTTAGCTAAACACTAGATTCACCTAACATGCTTTAAAAAAAAGACTTTAGTCTGGCACGGTGCACATGCCATTAATCCCAACATTTTAGAATTGTTTTAGTTTCACAGCAAATTGAACCGAAAGTTCAGAGTTCCCACATAGATCCAGCCTCCACACATGGATAGCTTCCCCTGTCCATTTGTTATAATTGATGACGGATCAACACTGAAATATCATTATCATCCAAAGTCCAAGGCTTATATTAGGGGACAATCTCAGTATTGTACATTCTATGGATTGAAATAATTGCAAAATGACAGATACCCTTGGTAGTATATGGAGTAATACACCTTTATAGTATAGTTTCACTGCCCTAAAATTCCTGTTTTCTGCCTCTTCATCCCTCTTTCCCCACAACCCTGTCAACAACTGATTTTTTTATCTATAGTTTTGCCTTTCTCAGAATGTCAAACAGTTGCAGTCACGGCATATAACCCTTTCAAATTGGCTCTTTCATTTAGTGATATGCATTAAAGTTTCCTTCATGTCTTTCCATGACTTATCTCTTTTTAGTGCTGAGTGATACTCAATTGTCTGAATGTGCCACAGTTTATCTGTTCACCTACTGAAGGATATCTTACTTGCTTCCAAATTGTTTGTTGGTGTGTGTTTTGGTTTGTTTTTGGTGCTAGGGGCTGAACCCAGAGCCTTGTATGTGATAAGCACATGCTTTACCATCAAGCTACACCCCCCCCCAAGCTCCCTACTTCCAAGTTTTAATAATTATGAATAAATCAGGTATAAATATCTGTGGATTTAAGTTTTCAATTCCTTTGGGTAAATGTTGAGGACAGTGATTGACAGATCATTTGATAGGAGGATTTTTTGTTGTTTTTGCTATAATGGGGTTTGAACCCAGGGCCTACACTATGAACCACTCCGCTAGCCCTTTTTTGAGAAGGGTTTTTTCAAGACAGGGTCTAGTGAACTATTTCCCTGGGCTAGCTTTGAACCACAATCCTCCTGATCTCTGCTTCCTGAGTAGCTAGGATTACAGATGTGAGCCACCACACCCGGCTGCTTTTTTAAGAAACTGCTGAATGACTATTGTTTTGCATTCCCACCAGCAGAGAATGAGAGTTCTTATTGCTCCACATCCTTGCCACCATTTGGTGGTGTCAGTGCTTTGGATGCTCACCAATGTTTGTTTGTTCGTTTTTCTTTTTTAGTGGAACTGGAGGTTGAACTCAGGACCTGGTGCTTGCTAGGAGACAGTCTACCACTTCAGCTACACCTCCAGCCTTTTTGGTATTGTTTCCCTGCCCCCTACCCATCCTTTCCTTCCTTCCCCTCCCCACCCATGGGACTAGGGTTTGAACAAGTTGCTAGGCACCTACCATTTGCTTTATGCCCAGATGGGTCTAGACTGCGGGCTTCCCAAGTACCTGGGATGACAGAATGTACCACCACACCCAGCTATTAGTTAAGATGGGGGTCTCTTGATCTTTTAGCCTGGGCTGGTCTTTAACTGTGATCCTTCCAATCTCTGCCCTCCCAAGTAGCTGGGATCACAGGCGTGAGCCACCATGCACAGCCTGGATGTTCAGACTACTAAGAGATGCTTAGAGATATCTCATTATGGTTTTAATTTTCTGTGCGTTAATGACATGACGTTAAGCATCTTTTCATATGTGTTACCCACTTTCTTTGGTGAAATGGGTTATTTACCATTTTTTTCTCTTTTTTATTAGCATATATTAATTGTACAAGTGTTTCATTGTGACATGTCCACACATGCAGACAATATACTTGGATCAAATTCATCCCCTCTATTATTCTTTCTTATCCCTCCCCTTTAAACAGTTTTTAACAGATTTCATTGTTCTGTTTTCGTACATACTTATGAAGGGCTTTGATCACATTCAATCCCTCCCTTTTACCATTTTCAATCCGGGTGTTGATTTTCTTATTGTTGATTTTTAAGAGTTCTTTGCATATTTTGATAGCAGTCCTTTATCAAATATGTCTTTTTTGCAAGTATTTTCTCTACTTGTGGAACTTTGAAGATTTCAGCTGTATAGGTCATTCCTTAGATCAGTACTTCAGTCAGAATCTCTGAAGGCAGTATCCAGGCATAATTCTTTCTTTATGTGCTTTTCATTTCTTTTTTGCGAGGGAGACAGTCAGGGGTCTCACTATGTAGTCTAAGTTAGTTTCAACCCTAAGAACCTCTTGGCCTCCCTAGGGCTAGGATTATAGACATGCACCAACATTCCCAACTCTTTGTGTACTTTTTAAATAAGTCTTGGCATTGAAAAGTATTAGACTTTCTGTAGTTGATATGTCTTCCATATAATTTTATTTATAAAACTTCTAAGAATTCGGATGCCATTTCCCTGCCTGAACATCTCTTCATATACTCATGATGGCTCCTCCACTTCAGAAATGAAATCTAAACTCCTTAACCTTGCACTCAGTGTCGTCACAATCTGTTGCCTTTCCACACTTCCATGCTCATGTCTTTTTTTTTTTTTTTTAATGGGACTGGGGTTTGAACTTAGGGCTTCATGCTCTCAAAGCAGGTGCTCTACTGCTTGAGACATACCTCCAGTCCAAGCTCGTACCTTGATATCATACCTGTGTCTCAGACTTACTAGTCATAGTTTATCTCTGGACATAAGACATAAGTGTGTGTGCACATATGTATAAAATATATGTACATATTTTTTGGTGGTACTAGGAATTGAGCCCAGGGTCTTGTGCATACTAGACAAGCACTCTACTACTCTAGCTATGTCTCCAGTCTAGTTTTTGTTGTTTTGTTTTGCTTTGCTTTGCTTTGTTTTATGTTTGACACAGAATCTCACTCTGAAGCCGCAGGCTGGCCACTAACTTGTGAGCCTTCTGCTTGCACCTCCTGTGTAGCTGGAATTAGAGGCATGCCTTACCATGCCAGGCTAAGGCATGAGTATTTTTTCAAGAACTCTAAGGGGCTTTGGGACTCAAGTAGTAGAATGTCTGCCTAGCAAACAAGACATCCTGAGTTCACACCCCAATACTGCCAAAAAGGAAGGAAGGAAGAAAGGAGGAAGGAAGGAAGGAGGGAAGGAAGGAAGGAAGGAGGGAGGGAGGGAGGGAGGAAGGAGGAAGGAAGGAAGGAGGAAGGAGGAAGGAAGGAAGGAAGGAAGGAGGAAGGAAGGAAGGAGGGAGGGAAGGAGGAAGGAAGGAAGAAGGAGGAAGGAAGGAAGGAGGGAGGGAGGAAGGAAGGAAGGAAGGAGGAAGGAAGGAAGGAAGGAGGGAAGGAGGGAGTGAGGGAGGGAGGAAGTTTAATAGTCCTAGGAAACTAATGTGTAGCCAAACCTACTTTGGTCAATATAATAGTAATAATGACAACAATAGCAGTCATACTTATTGTCATGACTGTATTTTATTGAATATGTGTCATTTCCAAACACTTTTAAATGCATTACCTGCTTCACCTCACTATCTGTGAACTTGGCCTCTCTGAGTTTTGCTTTCCTAATATGTAAGATAGACATAAGATAATTGTAACTAACCCCACAGAGGGTAATTATATTATATACGATACCACATGTAAAATGCCTATACTTAGCATTCAAAAGTGTTGTCTGTTGGGCTGGAGATGTGGCTCACGTGGTAGAACACCTGCCTACTAAGTGAAAAGCCCTGAATTCAAACCTAGTACCGACCAAACAAAATTCAAAGTGTCGGTTATCAGTATTAGCTCATTACTAGGTCTGCTCTCTACTGTGGCATACCAGATATGTTCCCTCTCCATGGGACAGATCACAAAACAACTGAAAACAATGATCATGTTTCATGTCCCCCTTTTTTTTAAGAGTGAAACAAATCCAGTCTCTTGAATTGCTTTACCCTCCCTGGGCATGATCCAGTTTCTCCTAACGTTCATTAACTGAGTGCTTCAAATTTGATCAGCCCAAGACAGGGAACTCAGTCTTCTGTTGCATTGGGCTGAGAGGTGGTGGTCCCATCGCTCTTTTGACTCAACCAAGTTTGCAACAAACTAAAGCCATCACTTCTTCTTTCCTGAACTCCCAAGCCAGATTTCCTTCATTCCTTTAATTTAGCAGGTTTTTGTTTGTTTGTTTTTATTTTTATGTTTTTAATTTTTGGGTTGAATTCAAGGCTTCCCGCTTGCTGTGCAGGCATTCTACCACTTGAACTACTCTGCTTAGCCCCCCCCCCCCCCCGCCTTTTTTTTCCTGGTTCAGCTGTGACTCCAGACAGGATCAAGAAAAGAGTTTTACAAGCTCCTTTCTGGGCTTTATGGAGATTTCCTTTGCCCTTCTGTGTTAACCACTTAAAGGCACTGCATCAACTTTAAGAGGTCACAGGAAAGAGCACCACTAGCCCTTTTAATGTTGGTTATTTTTTTGTTTTGTTTTTTGCAGTACTGGGGCTTGAACTTAGGACCTGCTCCTTGCCTCACTCCACCAGCTCTTTTTTTTTTTTTTTTGGAATTTTTTTTTTTTTTAGATAGGGTCTCTTGAACTATTTCCTCAAGCTGGTTTCAACTGACGATCCTCCTGATCTCTCTGCTTCCTGAGTAGCTAGGATTATAAGCATGAGCCGCCAGCGCCTGGCTCTGTTATTTTTGAGACAGGATCTCACTTTATGCCCAGAGCTGGCCTGGATTGCAATCTTTCTCTTATTTGTACTTCCCTGTGTACACTAGGGATGACTAGCCACCATTGGTTGAGATAGAATCTCACAAACTTTTTGCCCAGGCTGGCCTAGAACCGTAATCCTCCTGATCTCCATCTCCTAAGTAGCTAGGGATTGCTAGCATTATAGGCTTGAGCCACCTCACCCAGCTTAGCAGTTGATATTTTTGTACTTAATATTTAACCTTATTAAATTTCATCTGTTGGTTCTGTCTTAGTGCTTCATCCAATGGTGATCTCCTTCAGTCCTCATTGGATAATACCATGCATCAGCCCTCCCTCCAGATGCTGTACTGGTCATCAATTAGATAAGCGTTGGACAGAGCACACAGAAACAAAAGCTGTCCATATCACAAACCTTTCATCAAGTGGTTATCCATTACTAAGTAACTTCTCTGGGTATACTTGTCAAATAGCTGTGCTTTTACCTAACAGTTATCACCTTTTGACAATGAGAATTTTAATATCCCCCTGTCTAAAAGATGACAGCATTAACAAAATGAAACTAGTAACCAATAGAATCTGTAATGCAGAATATACATATTCATCTCTAAGATTTTAAAGGAAATCTTGTCGAAAACTTTCTTGAAATTCACTTACATCAACTATGCTGTCATAACATTTGTGGAAGCAAGGTAAAGGCTGTATAAGAATTTCTTTAAATGATTTTTGTGACTTTTCTAAGCCTGTGCTTATTTTGGGATTAAAAAGTTAGAAACATGACAAAAAGTTTAGATTGAGATGACTAAGTCAAAGTAATGCCGTCTTCTAAGAATCTCTGCTTCTTTGCTAAAGATTTTTTAAATGATGTATTTAAAAATAAATTCTAGAATTTTGACAGTTACATAGTTCGCTGTATTCACCATATCCCTTGGTAGTGGAGACAAAAAAACAAGTAACAGTCGTAAAAACTGTGCACTTCCCATTCCTAGTTAGTTGTTTCTGTTCTAAGGCTAGTAAACCCTTTTATAATTTGCTAATATCCCGTCCCTTTTGTCTTGAGGAAAATTCTTCTTGCCAATAAATAAAAAGGTCATTACTCTTCATAAGCATACTTGAATGTTTGATAGTTCTAAGCTTAAAAGAAAAGTAGGATCCAACTGGCAAAAATTGATCCAGGAGGAAACTTTCAAGAACTCAACTTCTGTAAGGAATATTTTCTTATTATCATTGTAAAATAATTGGGGAAAGTTATATAATTAAAGTATAATTTTTGAAAACCTTCCTTCTGATATTTTATTTAATTAATTCATTTATTTATTGTGGTAATGGGGATTGAACTCAGGGCCCACACCCTAAGCCACTACACCAACTCTGTTTTGTATTGAGTTATTTCGAGATAGAATCTCATGAACTATTTCCCCTGGTTGGCTTTGAACTGGGATCCTCCTGATCTCTGCCTCTTGAGTACCTAGGATTACAGGCCTGAGCCACCAGCACCCAACTCTGGATATTTTATATTAAGGGATTATTAATTGTTTTTACTAATGATAATAGTATTATGTTTATGTTTTCTGAAAAAAAAGACTTAATTGCTTAAAGATGTATACTGAAATATTTAAGGATGAAGCCGGGCACCAGTGGCTCACTCGTGTAATCCTAGCTACTCAAGAGGCAGAGATCAGGAGGATCACG